AGGCAGCAAGAATTTGAAGGTGCGTAAATCCACAGCAAGCAGCTGCATCTCGTTCCATTTAATGAAGCGCTGATGACATCACGCGACACAAACGTGTGACAAACTGCTGAACTGAATTAACTTTGGAAGTTCAGCAGTGTCGCCACTCCACACTTGGCAATCAGAAAACGGAAAAGAATCACGCCAACATGGCAACATGTGTTTGAAATATAGAGTTACAACCAAGTCTGTTAACTGGGGGCAGACACCAGTACACAGGAGCACTCTTTTAATTCATCCCTTTGTCTTTATGTCTCTTGTTGGACTTGAACAGCTGCTCATCAAATATAAGTTAGCCTCACACAAGCTGTTGGACTCGATGCAGAGTCACTGACGTCACACCAACTGACGATTATATCATATCCTAGACCCTAGATTCAGATTTTGGATGTTAACCGAGTTACGCACATTCGCTGGAAACAGTCTCATTGGCAGCAGTAGTTGTTTTTAACCATCTGTCTGATTATCACAACATTTTTGTAGGAAATTTTCACAGTTGTGTTCCAGTTAGAATAATTGTTTCTTTGCTCCTTGATTGCAAAGACTTCACCTATTCTGACTACCTGGCATCACAAAGTTGTCACTGATATTTTTTATTTTTTTAAGGCAAGTGAGACACTGAGAACAGGACACTATTGTGTAAATTCATACCTTGTTAGTCAGCTTGAACGTCAGGAGCAGCGCAGGCCTCCAGGTGCCACCAGCGGGGATTTTAGGCCATTCTTGGTACACTTTCATACACAGGCTATTTTTACAGAACAGGACCCAGGTGCTCTGTAAATACAGTCTTCTATTGTGAGGCAGACTAATGAAACATGACAAACACGTGAAAACCCACCAGAAGCATGACTGTGACCCAATTTGTTGCTCACACCCATGGTGAAAAAAACAAGGCCACAAAGAGGGAAGAACGGCAGACACAGTAGGAATATATTCATGCTTTGCTTTTAATCACTTCATAGAAAAAGTATTTCAGATTTATTTTTGAACACAATATACAATATAATACCATACATTGTGTGAAACATTTAATAACCCACCTGCAACAACTGGCAGACTTGAACATATTATTGACAATAAAAGAAACAAACCCATCTCTCATGCAGATAGTGCTAAATCTGGCTAACCATTTGGACACAACTAGGACCAAAAAAAAAAAAGAAGCTTGAACATAGTTAATGTTAATACTGACAATTTGAATTTCAAAACTGCTAACAAGTTTGGTCAGAAACACATTAGCACAATCAGTTACATAAGATCATTTTTGTTGGTAATTCAGAATGTTTCATGTTAGTGCTGGGGCGTATTGTAGCATGCTAACAATACCGTCCCCATGATATCTACTTTTACATGAAGTGCATTAAGTGTAAAAGGAGACAATCGCTTTGTGTTTGTCAGTCGAACCTGCATCTGGCCTCGTATATCAGCAATCTTCATTCAAACGCCAGATGGAGAAGCTTAGGTTGTAACGAGCCACTGAGGGGAGCTAAGCTAATATGCTAAGCTAATATGCTAAGCTATTAGCATACTTTAAAACCGAGCACCGACTAAGCTAAGATGTTCCTAGCTCCTACATCCAAGCCTACGCAGTTTAACGTGTCCTCTATGTTGCCTCTGGGTTACCAAATTGCTGATGTCAGATGAAAACCTTGTAGTGAAATGCGGTTGGTCAAAAATGTGTTTAATGTGTTGTATTTTCTTGGATTCAGACTATTT